CGAATATTTGGCGGTCAGGACGATTCCCTTCATGATTTCCGGAATTGCTGATTTTAATGAAATAATTGTAACAGTACCATATTACATAGCAATTTTTGTTGTTATGATATGAAGTATACAAAACCAAATTGCCAAGAATTTTCATAAGTTTGATCGTTCGGGATGCTTCGCGGCCGAAACGTAGCAAATTCCACATGACTCAAATTCGTGCACTTTTTTTTGAGTCACATAGCAAATGTCACGATATGGCTGCGGAGTTACCATGGGAATCACCCTAGTTAATTTGAGTTATCCCTTTTATAAAAAAATTTTTTGCAGGGGATAGTTTTTCTTAATTATTTAAGCGGGCAAATTTGCCCGCTAAAATTAACGGTTTAAGGGATAAGATGGGTTTTCGAATATCAAATTATGGATTCACGACGATTCGCGCGACTTCCAATGTTTGTTATTACATCCAATATGTTGGATTGAGAGTGTTTTGCATTATTTAGAATTGAAATTATTCATTTATAATTTGTTTTGAAAATTAAAATTGATTATAGAAAGACGAGCATGGACATTAATTATGCGTAATTCGTCTCTGAATATATAAAAGATTTTTTTGGCCACAAATATAGTCAACATTGTACAAGGTAACTAACATACTTGAAATTCCAGAGATGATTCAAGACATAATAAAACACCGCCCACTAGATGATCTCGAAAGTAGATGGTATAAGAAAATAAATTATAACTTCCAATAAGGCGAAATAATCTTTAGGACAGATATTTGGCTTTGATTACTAAGGGCGCGCTAAATGTGTAAGATGATCAAATAGCAAAACCAGCATAATCGAAGACGAATTAATAAAAAAGAAACCGGATGGTAGGCCGATAGGGAATGATCGAAATAATCAACATATGTAATAGATACAAACTTTTTCACAATTGATAACTCGGGCTAATTTATAATCGAAGACGAATTAATAAAAAAGAAACCGAATGGTAGGCCGATAGGGAATGATCGAAATAATCAACATATGTAATAGATACAAACTTTTTCACAATTGATAACTCGGGCTAATTTAAAAACCAAGTATGAAAAATGATTAAACAATGAAAACAACCATTAAATCAATCGGTTCTAAATAGAGATTTACTATATAATAATATTTCACATTGAAGCTCGAATTACCAACTTTATTTTTTTCGGAGATTGAAGCATCTCATCTGTATTACAAATACCGTCCTAATGAAAAGGAGTCTGCTCTTTTAGAGTACCATTCACGATATGTCGGAGGTACAAACGATAGGAATCTCTTCAGCTATTCGTGTTTTCATATGAAGCACACTCTTCCAGTTCCATTTTTCTAAGAATCAAGATTGGCTATATCATCATCACCAGATTCATCGTATGTTAATTCATTATCACATCTCTTTTTTCATCGAGAGGTACGCTCTTTCGATCTTCCTGTGCCATATGGCTTATCGCTCAATCAGAAACCAGCAAAGCGCGTGCAGATATAATCTTCGAAAAATTGGTAAGTCTTCTTTGTTCATTTCACTTTCATCGGGTTATTGTTCGCAAAAACTTGAAATCCTTTTAATCCTTATTTTAGGTGTAATAATTGGTGGCTGTGTTTCAAGCGCCAGAAAAAAATAGAAACAAAAGCGCGGACAAAATGGTACAAATAAGCATAAATATGAAGGGTAAACCTCGAGTCACATGACAATGAAACACTAGCCCAACACATTCAATAAAGATATAATCATAGACTATAAAAAGGATAATTTAATAAAGCTTCTTTGACGACATTTTTTGAGTTTGTAATTTCATTTGCTTTGTTTATTTTATCTCGAATTTTCTTCGTTATTTCTTCTTCTTGCCACTTTCAAAGGATAATTTTATAGTAAATTGCCATTATTTATGTATTGCTTATTTAAACCGTGAGTCGTAGCGTATTCTGCCACCCTTCAGCTAGCGCCTCATATGTATCAGAGAACACCGACACTATGTATTTATTTAATAATCTAAAGCACATTTTTATAATAAAATTTTGAAATATTGAATTAATAAAAATAGAATTATTTACAAAAATAATAATATATTTTATTTTTTAATATAATATAAAGAGATTGTTCTTGAATCAATTTAAAATGTTATTTAAAATATTAATATAATTAAATTAACAATTATTTTTTTGAAATAAGTTATTCAATTTATTTAAAAGTCAATTTTAATTAATAATATAATTTTTATTATATTTTAAGTATAATTTATTATATAATATATTTTTAATATGATAATTTAATATATATAATATAATAAATTTTGAAAGCAGTTATTTTTATTATGAATTTTTAATATTTGATATAGTAGAAACTAGATAATTCATAATAAGTTTTATATTTGATTTTCTTTATCGAATCACAAGATATTAAGCTTAAAAAAGATTATACACATAATTTTTAAATAAATACTTTTTTATATAATCTTGTTAAAGCTTAAGTTCTTATAATTTAATAAAAAAAATCAAATATAAAGCTCAATATTTAATTTAGTAAAATCTAAAAATCAATAATAAGCTTTATATTCAATATTACTGGATTCAGATATTAAACTTTAAAAAATCATATGTAAAATTTTAATTATTTTTAATAGATAATTTATTATATTTTTTTAGAGCAATATCTTGAGATTTAGTAATAAAAGTCAAATAAAAAATCTATTATTTGATATAATATAATTTAAAGAATCAAAATGATATGCTTTATCTTTGATTTTCTTTATTAAATCTCAAGATATTGAGCTTTAAAGAAATTATATGGAGTTTTAATGAATAATTTATTATATAATCTTTTTAAATCTTAATATCTTGAGACTTAACAATAAAAATTAAATATAAAGTTTATTTCAATTCAATAAAATCTAAATTTTTTTTTGTAAATATTTATTAGATAATTAATAATATAAAATAAAATATTTTAATTTTTCATTCCAAATTATTTCATATTTGAATTGTTAATATTAAAAATATTATTATATATTAATTATATTACTTTATAAATTAATTCAAAATATTCTTTTATAAAATATTTATTATTAATAAATTTTTCAAAAATTATTTATTTAAAATTTATTATTTTATTAAAATTATTATATTTTATTAATTATTAATTTATTATTATAAATTTACTTTGTAATATTTATATAATAATATATTTATTATATTTATATAATATAATATTAAAAATCAAAAAATAATTTTTTTAAAAAATATTTATTTTTTATTCTATATACAATAATAATTAAAAATAATATGTCAAGTAAAATTTATTAATAAAATATAGTGAAAATTAAAATTTTCTTTCTATATTAAAATTTATAATTTATTAAGAATAATTTTTATTTTTATATTAAAATAAAGTTTTAGTTATAATTTAATATATTTTTTTTAGACTTTATAATAATTTTGATTTAATTATCTTCTTTAATATTAGATTTTTATTTTGTACTATCTATATAATAAATTATCTTGTATATTATTTTCTTGAAGATTAATTTTATATTAATATATAGATAATTACTATAATTTACTATATAAATCATTCAGGATCTCTTATTTTAAATCTATTTGAAAATTAATTCAGACTCTAAAGATTTTCTTGTATGGAAAAGAGTCTTTTATTAGAAGAATTTTGTATTTAGAGAATCTGATATTAGAAGATCTTTTGCATAAAAATATCTAAATTAATTAGAAGTCTAAATTTTACATGTTAATTTTATTGAAAAATATATTGGTATTAATATGATTTTAAAGATATTTTTTAACTTTAACTTGAATAAGTAATAAATTCATATAATATTTGTAATTAAATAATATATAAATTATTTTTATATTAAGATTAAATTAATTTGTAATATAAATAATTAAAAATAAATTATTATAACTAGAAAAAAAAGTGTGAATAGAATACTTAGAAAAAATTAATTATATTAATATATTCAAGAAAAATTCTGATGTTAATATTTAAAAAACAAATTTAAAATTTGTTATCTAATCTAATTAAATATGAGATTAATAAAAAAATACAAGTATAATTCAAGTCAGTTACTTTATATATTAAGTTAGAGATTGGAACCAGTTATTGATATTAAATTTAAATCCAGTTTTAATTAATTTTAAATAAAACTAGTTTTGAATTTTTGTAAAATCAATATTCAGTTTTATTAAAACCAATAAATTAAGATTTGATTTAATTTTTTTATATATGAGATAATTATTTGATATCTTATATTTTCATAATTCAAAAAGATAATCAAAGTTTATTAATCAAAAAAAATATCATTCTTATTCTCAAATAATGATACTAATACTATCTGTTCTAATTCTATATTTATATAATTAAATAATAAATGAAAAAAATAAAAATCTAATATAATAGCTGATCATAATAATAAAAGTTATATCTCTTTTTTTCAAAGAGATAAAAATAACTCTAAATTAATATATTATAAAATATACAAGCTTAATTATGTAAGAATTAATAAAAAATCTTATATATATATATATATATAAAAGTAAAAGTATAATAAATATAATAAATTATTTATAAGATATTTATAATATAATTAAAAAAAATTATACTTAATATTTAGATAAATATAATAAGATATAATTCTATTAAATTTAATTATTATTAAGAATCTGACTTATATTAATAACTAGTAATTTATTTATTAGCTAGAATTTAATCAAAACAAAATTATCAATTATTATAATAATGTGAGATCATCATATCTAACAAAAAAATAGGAGTTTTTAACAAGAAAATTAATTTAATTTATTATTTATTTGGTTTTGTCTCTCTATATTTTAAAAAATAATTTTTTTTATAAATTTATTTATAAATATAAGTCAGAATTTTATATTCTATATATTAAAATTATAAAAAAACTAATATACAAAGCATATAACTGAAGCTATAATTGACTTAGCTTATTATTAAATAGTAATATAATAAGTATTTATTTGACTACAAATTTATGAACAGCAAAATTCCAACATAGATATTTAAATATTATTATAACTTGACTATTTTCTAATTTTAAGTTTATAAAAGCTCTTCTTTCTTATAACTATCTTCCATATTCATATACTAAACAAGTAATTAGTAAAGAATTATTCTAAATAATTTGTAAGTAATATCTTGAAATAATGATTTTTACTATTTTTACAAATAATAATACTAATATAATTAAAAAAATAAAATTATTAAAGAATAATCACATTAGTAATATAAAATATTAGCTCTATATAATATATATTTTATAATTATTAGTTCAAGAGAGATTAAAGTAATATAAATCTATATATCATTATGTAAAAAGTTTATAAACTTTTTTCTGACTTTCAAAGCAGGCTTAATATTTATATAAAACACAAAGTAATATTAATCAAGTTAAAGAAAATTTTATTCAAAGTTCTCTTGATTTTAGAAGACAAGATAAAATTCTATCTATTTGGCATAGAAATATATCTTGAAATTATATAATTTGATATGATTTATTTTAACTTTCCTTCTTTTTGAAACAGATCATACTTCTTAAAAAGAAGATAAAAAACTAGAATATCTTTACTTATCAGTTACAGAAAAAAGATAATATATTTTCTTTTATTAATTTTATATTTGTTATTTTATTTTACTTTTTAATTTATAAAAAGAAGATGTAATTCAAATTATTATTTATTTATTTTATAGATTTTTATAAGAAGTTATGAAATTATTAGAACTAATTAAAATTATAATCTGATATTTATATAGTATAAAATATCTAACTTTCAATCTTGTCTATCCTTATATGAAATCTCTTAAAAAAAATTTATTCCAAGATTAGATAAAAAAAAATAATTGATTCTTATTTAAATTTTATCTATAGAAAAGATTATGAAGAAAGTAATAATAATATAACTGATAATAATATAACTACTGCTAGTACTTAGTAATAATAATAATATATATATTGATAATTTCAGCAAAAAATAAGAAATTATGACTAAAAGAGACAAAATTAATAGAGATCAACTAAAAAATAAATACAAAATGAAAGTATTGAAAATATCAATCAGATTGAATATTTAATACTATCAGAATAATTAAAAAGATTCAAGCTATAATTTATTTTTCATTAGATAAATTATGATCTGTTTTAATTGATAATATTTTAATTATCATATTTTTTGATTCGTAGTTTAAATATTTTAATTAGATAATTAACAATAAATATGATAAAATGTATTAATTAGTAAAAATTTTGTATGATATATTAAAAAAAAGACTTTACATTTCAAATAACATGAAATTGACAGAAGATAAGAATTAAGATAATAATAATAATGATTTTTTTATAATCTTAAAAGTAATTATATATAAATAAATATAGATAAAGATAATAAAATATTACATTATATAAAACTAAGTAATATCAAAGTTAAAGATGATTCTCTAATCTAATAAATAAATTA